TTTTTTTTTTTTTTGGAACGATTTCAAACGATTTCTTCCTCGTTAAAATAGAGATTCATCAGTGTTGAAAAGAAGGAATGGAAATAGAGCACTCGTTGACCGTGAAATCAATGGTAATGATGAAAGATCGAATTTTCGAATTGCAACGATCGACTATTTGATCGATCGAGACAAGATCGTAAAACGCATGGAACGTTTTGTTCGGGAAATATAATGTAAATACGTTTCGAAATGAAATCATTTATGAAACGCTTGTTATCCAACGCATTATAATATTAATGGAATTTACTAGACTGGAACATGTCACGTCGCAGGTTTATTAAATCTCGGTGAATCATCACATTTCCTAAAGTATAGCGACTATTTCCTTCCACGTACGTAAATATATCACGGCTGGCATAAACGTTCCGAAATCTTAGAACTGCAAAACGAAACACATTTCGCATTCGAAATTTCAACCTCCGCGGAGAGTTGTATTCAACCGTTTTGATTTGTATTTCAAGCGGTGTGCAAGCGTGAGTCGGCCATCGCCGATCTTGACCCGTTTTCGGTTTCATTAGAAGTGGACTGAGAATGATAACTATCTTGACCGAGAAATACGCGAATTCTGCTCGAAAATTAAGAGCAATTCCGCCCGTGTATCACGTTCGGCTATTATTTCTCTTCGCTATTGCGAGATGTCGTAAGTTGATTCTGCTCCCTATTCTTTTCGTAACGTGGATTCGTACAACGATAATTCGAAACCATCACGCGAGATATATACATATGCAGCTATGAGAACGCGCGTGACGTGTTTACCTGTCAAAGCTACCGTACCGCCTCGTGTCAATGATTTTCTTACTCAATGAATGCTGTCAATGGAAAAGTATGCAGCAACCTTTTATCGACCGAAATGACGAAAGCGAATGGACGAATAATCCATAATCCATCCAGAATAATCTGTGACGAAGCGAGAAGAGAAATCTTTATCGTGATATGACTGTTGAATATCATCAAATATTGCACGAGTATAACGATAATCGATTTGGTAAACAAACACTCAATCTGTTCGAATTATCTAATTTCAAAATTGATCGAATGAATCATTGATATTGACGCTCAATGTAATCCCCGATTATCATTTTTTTTGTCGATGAATTTTGAACTTGTGAGGGAATATAGGGAATGCGTGCGTCACTGTAGAAAAAAAAAAAAGAAAAAAAAAAAGAAAAGAAAAGAATTATTCGAATTATTCGAGTATCACGTAACGCGGAAGATTGAAAGGCTTGCAAAAGGCTTGACGATTCTCTAAACATGTCACGATTAAAATATCGATCAGGTTTTCAAACGGAGCGATAAAATAAACGAAAAACACTTTGGGAACGATATATAGTCGTTAACCTTGTTAACAAGCGTTAAATTTTTTTCTTTTTATAACGAAAATGGATCCCGATGATCTTGCAGGAAGATCAAAAAGATTAAGAAAATAAACGGAATATAATTATAGTGACTCGTATGCGATTGGAGGCTATTTTAAAAATGACTCGATTGGCGAAAAGAGGTTGAAGAAAGAGGTTAGTAGGCATCGTATATTTTTAAGCCGATTTCTTCAGGGTGCAGAGCCATTTGTTTTATCGATAAAAAACCAACGAACGAATCCCTCCATCTCCATATTTTTTTTTTCCAGCTATATTGGATTATTTATTTCCATACGCATTTCACCGATCGATTTTCATTTGATCGTTGCTCGAAGAAAGAATTCCTCGAGAAATATCATTGAATCCTCTCTAATCTCTTCTCAACACCTCCTCATCGTCTCGTTTCCATCGAAATTTTCAACTTCGCCCGTATTCTGTTATTTCTAAAATTATATATATATATATCGATCGTGGTTCAGTTTAAAGTTTCCTAAAATTAAACGCCAGTGTCACTTTTTCCAAACTCATTCTCTCTCTCTCTCTCTTTCTCTTTTTTTGTCTCTCTCTCTCTCTCTCCTCCACCACCCTGTTCCCCCACTCCTATCGATTCTCAACCGCAAGCGAATCATCCTCTCCCTCGATTATTTTTTCTTCTCTCTTTTTCCCCTTCATTTTCTTTTTCCTCTTTATTCAATCTGTTTATCGTAAGTCGCGCCAATGCTTATATACGTATATCTTTCAAATTGTTCGCGCTAAAAATAACGCGAACGTCATATATTAACGCGTATGTGCCCATTGCCCCAAATTCCGATCTCTTTGCGTTATGGATTCGGGATAAGGGTCGTGAAATCGAATAGGTATCGATGATGGGATTCGAAATTGCCTATGCGCACGGCAATATCGTACGTGAACACGAAGGAATCTGTCTATTCTACGAGTCAACATATTTATAATTTTCCACGGTGAGAAAACACGGTGAGAAATCGCTTCTTTTAAAATTGTGCGCGCGAATCGAGGCATATATGCACACATGAAACGTGAATGAGATAATAGGTAAACGTGAATAACAATCGCGTAAATTTAGTATTCGTGGCAGTGTTATAAAAAAAAAAAAAAACGTGCCTCGAATCATTTTTGGTCCATTATGCAAAAAAGATGTTTATATACAATGTGCAGAGATTTTTTTTTATTTTTTATATTCGTGCGTTAAATCGTTGCACTTTTATTCGTACGAATTCGAATAATACGAAATAATACGATCGATATTCTAGAAACAATATCAATTTTATTACTTGATATCCATATAGTTATGCAATTGATTAATTAAATGAATGATATTAAATATTAAAATATCAAAGTGTCACTTACTTGTTGGTTTGTTCGAGATTGTCAGATCCGAGAAGACACTTGACTCTTTTGACAAACGTCAGTTAGCACTTGGTTCGCAGTACTCGGTACCAGTACACGCCTGCAGTAGACGGGCGTAGATACGCGTTCTAAAATATCTTCAAATGTTCTTGGATGACAGTGACAATGGTTTGAAAGATTGGAGGATTGAAAAAGAGACATAAAAGAGGGATAAAAATTTTGACAGCTCGGACGATTGAAAAGAAAGTGAGGTAATTTCAAACGATACGAGGTTTTGAACTCTCGTTTGAACGTTCGCGGAAAATATTCGCTGCGAGATAAATTTCGAAGATGATTAGCGGTGTCGTAATAACGATTGTAAACGATTAGAGGAGAATCGATCGGTGCTGGCGGCTCGAAAGCAGGAGCCTAACTGACCTGCGAATACGCTAGGTAAACGCGAGCTAAATGCTAGCCTGGTCGCGTCCCACGGTGGTATCGCGATTCGGTTTCCTCTTGGCTACTTACCGGATCTCCTTACGACTTCTTCCCTTGAGATTCGTCATTCCTCGAATATGCAAAGGTCTCTGATTAAACTCGCGAGTGAGTGCACAACTGTCACAATAGTTACGATTCCGACTCGCCACGAATATACACAGCGAACACAAGATTCTTCTTCTTCTTCTTCTTTCAAACTGAAATTAAAAAGCTCGAAAACAAGCGTTTTTTTTTTTTTTAAATTGTTAATCACACGTGTTTATCTTTGCCAATTGCATATCTTTGAACGGGGAATAATATCACTTTTTTTTATGCAAATTTTTTATGAACGAAACGAACGAAAAACAACTTTAGAAGTATATACAGCTTGATCTGAGAAACTTAATTACAATTTGTGCAAAGAGTTGAAAGGAAAATTTAAAAAAAAAAGAAAAAACACGAGAGGGCTCGTCCGGGATTTGAACCCGGGACCTCTCGCACCCTAAGCGAGAATCATACCCCTAGACCAACGAGCCACGTTGAGAAAATTTTTCAATAAATTATATATATATTGGAAAAAGTCATTTTTTTAAGAAATATTTAATATTAAATATTGAAATTTTTACTTAAATTCATAAATAAGTTATACGAATTATACCGATTCATTTTATGATAATAAAAATTGTAATTTATGTTTATGTGTTATATCTATATATAAAGATCCTTTCTAGTGTTATAATATAATTTAAGAAATATTAATATTTAATAAATTATCAATAATTTACTTTATATTAATATTATTAAACATCATTATCTAGATATACTGAAATATATTCTTTGAGAAGTTTAGGAACAACTTGGCGCCGTGGCTTAGTTGGTTAAAGCGCCTGTCTAGTAAACAGGAGATCGAGGGTTCGAATCCCTCCGGGGCCTACGAGGTATTTTTATTTATTATATATCATTTTACTTTTTTTCTTTGTGTAATTTTTAATATCTTTTAATCTTATTTCTATATTTATATACGTAAAATATTTTAATAAAGATTTAATAAAGATGCAATTAATATTAAAATTAATAAGAAACAATAAAAGGAATAAGATATCCACTTGATGTCACATTCTTATTTTTTTCCTTTATAGATTTTTTCCAGGAAATGAGAATTTTATTCGCGATTGTGGTACGCTTATTATAAATTAGATTTTAAAGGTAATCACATATCAAAAAATGAGAGAATATCCTTTAAAGAAAATTCGATAAAGTAACGTTCAAGTTCTTTAACGAATCGATTAATAAAATCCGGTTTTGCTTGGCAGAATTTTTGGTCAAAAGAGATTAAAAGAGATTTCCGGTTTCCAATTTCTGGTTTCCAGCGAGATAAAGTCAATTTTCAAAAATGTGTATCGGTACGCCTCACAGAATTGTCATTGCGTGATCGATATCAAGAATGTAATTCCATGGCAACGCAATAGCAGAGAGATGAGAGAATGGTATGAACATTAAAATCGCATCGATCACTTGAATCATTCGTCATCGTGTTGGTATCAAAGATCGTGTGTCCTTCTAACAATAAAAAAATAAGAAGATGGGAAATACGGAAAGCAACGTAGCCAGCGGAGTGAAGAAACAGACGGACGCATCGTCCATTTTGCTTTACAAATTAGTCGACTTGAAAGGTAAATAAAAGCAATAAGAATGACAAAGAAATATAT